AAAAAAAAAAAAAAAAAAAAAAAAAAAAAAAAAAAAAAATTAAACCGAAAGATTTTTTTTGCCTGAAAGTTTGGGCCAAAAAGTGGGTGTGCATTATATACAGGAGCACAGTGTACACGGCAAAATGCCGTGTTCCTACTGAAGCTGAGGACACAGGCTGAGGAGTTCCAAGTTCTCCCTGCCCAAGTCTGAACCAATGGGCAGCAAAGCAGATAATGTATAGTTTATTTATTTGCCCTTATAAATAAAGAGGGCAGCTGCTCTTGCCCGCTCAGGTTCCTCGCTTCCCTGAGGTGGCATCTGTGAATGGTGGACATTAATGTGGACACCAAAGGGAGGTCTGAGGAGGGCAGTGGACTCATATGGGCAAGGGAGCTCCACCAGGCCTCACCTACATGCGTGTCATTCAGTATTTATGGAGACCAGAATTGCTCCGTGTTTGGAGCTGCGAAATTAAATATTAACCACGGAAATGGGTCTGATTACACTTCCCAACAGGGCTGTGACAGCTGGAGAGAGACAGAGGGCCCAGGCGCCACCCAGCCACACTTGTTATTGTGCCTATAGTCGGCAGATTCGGAAACAATGTGTCTTGGCTATTTTTGGTTACTGATTTGAGTACTACTCAAAAAAATATGCTTCATTCTTTAGAAACGCCAGAAGTGGATATTCTTTAACCATCATCCAAATGCCCACATATCCAAAATCAAACTGCCCAGCCAGGAGCTGGCAACGGTCACTGCTGCATTTCTTTCCCTGGCCTGCATTCCTCACTGGGGGTGACCCAGATCTCCTGGCAGTACCAGGTATGCCACCTGCATGAGAAAACGGGGGTGGGTGGGAGGGAAGCCAGCTCCTGTTCCTTCTCAGCAGGATGTGATTCCCCAGCCCCAGGAGGGGGGAGCCTACCCTGGAGGTCACGGCCAAGGCCAAAACCTGCCCCATGAGCAGAGGGCACTGGCAGACTGGAGGCAAAGGTGAGCGAGAGGAGGACAGAGAGGTGAGAAAGGAGGAGAACACCCTGGTGGGGACTGAGCAGAGATAGACTCCGAATCTCCAGGTACCCCATGCTCAGAGGCATGGGCCTCGGCAAACAGACCTGGGCTAAGACCAGCTCCACACAGCTCCCTTCTGTCCTGAGGGTCACTCACCCCGTCCACAGCGTAGGCCTGACAACAATGGTGCATGTCTTGCCTTTCTCTCAGGGTTGATCCCAGGCTCAAAGGCAATGATAACGTGCACAAAAGGCCCCTCATCAGATTCTCCATGCTGCACCACTTTAGGGCCACACACTGTCTTTCTTTGTTCTCAGTCCAGAACAGTGCTGAAGGGGATTGAACTCTACCACACAGGACATGGGTGAGAAAGAAAGGAAAGCTGACAGGGGCTCCAAGCAGGGGACTGGTCTCAGGCCAAAGGTCCCGGACATGGAAGGACCACATCCATCACCACCTTCTCCTCAACCTCTGGGGCTGGTGGAAGAGGCACACTGTTCTTGGGGAAGCTCCACCCCAAACAAAACATCTGGCTCACGTGGTGGGGTGGGAGGTAGCAGACGTCTTCTTGGGGATCTCCGGGAATCATAGCAAATGGGCGAGTCATCCTCCTCCAAGAAGGCTTGGGGGTGATGGTAGCCTCGGGGCCGCTCGAAGTCCAAGTTGCTGCCTAGGTATCGGTTGTAGTAGCTGTAGTTTTGCCTGGTGGTCAAAAAGACCAATAGAGAGAGAGTAAGGGGCACATAAGCTCCTATTAAAAAGCCCTGTCCCTTCGCTCAGCCAGACTCATGTCTACAGATCTCTCCCCACTTCCTTGGGCACAAGAGGACTATCTGAGAACAAGGCAGTCCTCAGCTTCATGGAAGATTCTAGATGGAAGGCAAGGACTGTTACAGGAAGGTTTAGGACATCAGGCCTATAACAAGTGATGTGCTAGTGGTTTCCTTCCTGCAGGGGCAGCCTCAGACCTGGGTCAGATGTACATTGCAGATTTCCTGCAAAGCTTGACTGTCACCCATTCACTTTCTCCTTGAGAACCCCTCTCCTGAGTGCCTGTCCTCGGCCACGTGCTAGTCTGGGCACCAAGGACATAAAGATGCATGAAGCACAGTGCCCGCCCTCAGGAGCTTAGCAAATACCACCTGCACAGAGACATCTAAAGCAGCTGAAAAACGTCAGCACTAGAAGAGAGGAGCTCAGAGTGGGTTCTGTGAGTTTTTGGTGGGCGGCCATTTCAAGTTCAGTTAGGGAATGAGAAGCAGAGCCCTGAAGCAGGCCCTTGAAGAGAGGGTAAATTAGGCCAGCAGAGATGGGAAAGGGTGTCCAAGTGGTAGACATGGTGTGTCCAATAGCACCAAAGAACAAAAGTCTGAGGGAAGGAACTGGTGGAGGGCAGGGTGAGGGAGGGTCTGGCTGTGGCTGGTTTGGAATACGAAGCTAACATTTAATAACTCAGATGCCAGAAGGGACCTCATGGCAGTACCACATCCACTTCAATGAGCCACCTGGTCATGGTGGCATGCAATTTAGAGAGAAGAGGGTGGTAGGTGGTCTTTGTTGCCATGCACTGCCTACTATGAGTCTTAAAGCAAAGTGCCCCCTTTTAACCTCAAATATTCCTTCTTTGGGACAGAAGCCTGAAGAGGCAGCTCTGCTGCAAGATGCCACTCTGGCCTCTTGTGCCCCATCTCCAGGAGAGGTCCCTTGATGGGAGTGGGCAATGTGCTGTTCATTAAGACCCCATCCAAGCTATGGGCTGCCTGAGCTGCTATGCAGACAGAGCCCCCAGCTCACAGCATTAATGAAATAAAAACAGCTCTCTCAGAAGACAAGGGATTGGTGGCAAGGGGGTTGCTAACCCTCCATGATGCAAGCCCATGGAGTCGTTCTCATTTCTGGAACCTTTACTAAAAGGCCTTACAGGCCCCCTGGTGGGAATGAGTCAACAGGCCTGAGAGAACAGCCTCCATCAACTCTGCCTCTCTCGGACCCTATTTTTTGTTCTCTGACTTTTCCTCTGGCTGGAGTCTGTGCTCCTGGTTTACTCTCCAGGGCAGGCCCAAGTGCAGCTACAGGTGGCCTGTGGCTTCATGAGCAGGCAGAGCACAAGGGACAGGAAATAGCCAGGCCTCCAAATGTCAGCTGGAGTCACAGAGTTCCTCACCTGCTCTCAGTTGGTGAGCTGTCATCCTCGTAGCACTCCTCACCACTGAAGTACTCCTGCTCCCCCAAGCAGTAGGGGTCCCTGAAGTAACCGTGTATCTCTGGGTCTTCTCGGCAAATTGTTGGGAACTGCTCATCTCCTGAGTCAGACCTGCAGTTGGAAGAGAGGACCTGAGCCTCTGGGCAGGCGGCAGACAATTTCTGCAGCCATGACTGCACATACGGCCAGCATCCCTGCCCAATGTGCTCCTGGCTTCTCCCAGGATGCACCTGCCTCAAGCAGGACTGGACTATTAAGGCCTCTGGCAACGGTGTGTGTGGGGGGACTCTGGGCTGCCAGGCCATCTACTCTTGAGGCCCACTCCTTCCTACCCAGGCCCCGTGTGACTTCAGAGCCTGGAACAAAGAAGTTCCCTTATCACCAACATCCCACAGCATCTGACCCAGGAAGGGTGGCAGGGGTTTTAGATAGTGTCCTAGGAGAGACTCTCATGGATGATGCCTGCCAAGTTTGCAAAGACTGACCCCTGCCCAGAACTGTTGTAATGTCTCCCTGAAACCCTGCTGTCCTGGCCTCGGTCCTCAGGAAAACCAGCCAGGCTCTGTGATGTCACCTCTCTCCAGAGAGAGGACTGGACTCCCACCAAGTTCTTCCTTCTCTCCTCACCCTCTTTCGGCTCACGATTTCACTTGATATAATTAAACCATCAGACCTATCCTCCCATCACCAACAAAATAACCATCCTGCCCACAGTTCAGCCTGGTTCAGCACATGTGTTGAGGACTGCACGGGAGGCAAAGAAGAAGGCCTGGCCCCTGGTCTTTAGGAGGCTGGGATCATGCTTTTACCGAGGCCCCAGAAAGAAGCAGGCATTGCCCAGCTGCACAGGCCTAGGCACCAGGAGTCCACAGCAGGCTCTCCCAGTGCTGTCCTGAAGCCTGCAGGGGCTCATCCATGGGCACCTGGCACATAATATCAGTCCTCAGTGATAACCGCCTATGCAGAAAGCCACTACCTCCAACTCCTAAGTCCCGAGCCCTGAACTGTAATATCATAGTTGGCTCAAAGGAACTTCTCATCACTCAGCATTCAGAGAGGCCAACTGGTGACACTTGTAACACACGGTATTTAACACATAAACACAGGCAATGAACACATACCTAATATAAGTTTCATAATAGCGGGTTCTATCCAGGCAAGGCATAATGTGGAGGGAGGGAGAAGATAAAAGTTAAATATTTCCAACAAAATGTTAAATGCATTTATCAAGCTACTTCCTAAAATATAGGATAGCAAAATATGGGTCACAGGCCAAACTCCAGCTGCTGCCTGGTTTTGTATGGCCCATGAGCTATGAATGGTTTTTGACATTTTTAAAGGATTAAAGAAAAAAAACAAAGGAAGAAAAACATTTCATCACCTGTGACCAGATGAAGTTCACATTTTAGTGTCTAAAAAACAAAGTTTTATCGGGACACAGCAGTAACCATGCATTTATATATTGTCTGTGGCTGCTTTCTCACAATGGCAGCAGAGTTGAGTAGCTACAATAAATTGTATGGTGCTCAAAGGCGAAAATATCTACCATCTAGTCCTTTACAGAAAAGGTTTTCCAACTCCTGTCCCAAAGTACGTTAGCACAATTGGGAAGGGTAGAGTTTGCAGCTGCTGCCACTGTAGGGGCATCTCACACAGCAGGATACAGGACAGCAGGTGGCCCTTTATCCTTTGGGTCAACACGTGGCTAGAGGGCCTGAAGAGGCCATGACCTCGTGGCACTCACGGGTTCACCTGCAAACACCTACTGGGAATCTCCTGCATGTGCCAGAGCATGGGGGGCAGACAAAACATTACCAAGTGCAAACACATTTTCAAGGTTACCTTTTAATACTGGACCTTCTTTGAGGTTCACGGTCATGCTTGTGGGAGGAATGATGCCCATTTTCAGACACATGCTCAAGGTTCCCAAGGCTGGGCTGCTTTCCAGGGGCAGCTTTGGACATATTGGCATTATTGAGATTGGCATTTGTTGAGCTGGGAACTTGCTTTCCTATGGAATTATGGTTATGATGGTTATGACACACCGAATTTCCTGCTGGAGGAAACAGCGGTTTCTCAGTATCACTTGCAGGTGGAATTGAAGGCCTTTGGACATGCAGGGGACGGTGGGTGGTATTGGTCTGCTGAAGGGAATCTCTCCTATCACTATTAACATGATTGACATGGTTTCCAAGCAGGGCACCATTTCTCTGCAAAATAATGGGAGACAACACCAGGTAATTTAACAAATATTTGATGCAGGCTAGCTATGTTAGGTAACTTTTTTCTACATGAAAAACAAATCTAGGTAAGCTCCGTAGGATCCCTTGAAAACAATCTGAGGGTCTCAATGATGAGGGTGAATGTGTCTGTGTGGCAGCTGGTGCCCCTGAAATGAAGAAGGTTACCACCGATTCCTGAGCCGGGGAGTAAGCTTTTGGTTGTCACTCCAGAGTGCTCTTCCAGTTGTTCCAAGTTGAGGTGACTGACACCCAGCTGGGCTGGTTGGCAGCCCCAGGAGTTGAGGTGGGGTGGTAGCATGCTCTCAGGCTGGAGGGCTAGGAGGCTGAGGGCCATCTGGCAGATCAAAGAGCTCAGGGAAGAAGGGGGTGGTGTGGGGAGGCAGCTGCCAGAAGCACCCAGGATGCTCATCCAGGCCGGCCAGTGACTATGGCCAAGCTCCTTGGAGAGGAGCAAGCTTGGGGAGAGTAGGCCTGGCCCTAGAAGAGGTGTTGGTGAATGGGGAGGGTCTGTTGTGGGGATAGCATGGTCTGCAAGCCCCTCTTGGTTCTGGGGCTGGTTTGCATTCTCCAAGCTCTTTTGTGGATCATTAACTGCCCAAACTGGAGTCCTGCCCCACTATTTCCAAGTGGCAAGTGTGCAGCTGTACGTGGGATAATTACTTTGAATACATCATCTTCTTCTTCTCCTTTTGTTTCCTCGGGCTCGTCATCTTGCAAATCACATGATATAGCACGCCGGATTTCTGGCCCGATGTCATGCAGTGTCCTTAATCCCGCCTAGATCAATGAAAATGGCAAAACAGATTAGACAACACGGGGGCCCTGGGCCTGGTCTGGGTCCTGGCTTCGCTCCTGCCTGATTCAGCTGTGGGAGAAGAGGGTTTCTCCAAAGGACAGCTTGTGAAACTGATTGCTTGTTTGAATATAACTGAACAAGTCCCTGCAGCCTTGGGGTTGTGGAGTATGGTCAGGGGTTCAAGAGGATCCTAGACTGGGATGCTAAGCCCTTCAACCCAGAAAGCTCCTTTTCAAATACCCCACTTGCAGGGAACAGTGCCTGGTTACTCGTACTAGGTCTGCCATGGCCAACAGCCCATGCCCACATCTAAACGATAATCTAAAGGAACGATGTTCTGCAGAGCCCCATCTCCCAGGGCCCCACGCAGAGCTGGGAGTATAATGCAGCCTAGCTCTTCTACAGGGAGGGTGGCAAGAACTCTCTAGCTGTGTCCAGGATAAGGAAGCCTAGGTGCAAGTGCCAGAGGGCAAGCAGACCAAGGAGCCATCAGGGCGTCTGATTCTGCTAAAGCCATGGGAACGAGGGAACAACACAACACACTGCAACCACCAGCACACTCAGGACCATGAAAGAATGGATTGACATGCACACAGACCTGGGCTGCTGTGCAGTGCCAGCCTCCGTGGCCATCCGTGGTACCTTGTCCTGCAGCCTGTGCTCAGGCTGAGAACTCGCCAAAAGTAGGGTCATCCTCTTGAAGACCACAACACATTAAAGGGGGCTCACCAGCCTCTGGAGGCAGTGCAAGACCCACCAGCTGAGCCCCCACGGCCCTCAAAGACATTTGGCACTTCCCCGAGGCCCTAACAGCTGGCCTTCCTTACCCAGGGTCTCAGGTTCCATTGGGACAGGGCCTGGGAGAGGCCTTTCTATTGTTCCCAGCTACTTTAGATAAACATTTGAGACGCTTATGGATGCTATGTGGGGAAGGGGTAGTCACTGGCTCTGAGAAAATTATGCTGTTTTGACCATCAATTTGAAGAAAAATAGCATGCTGACTCAGACTAATTGAGACAGTACAGCTACTTTATCCTTTTCTACACAAAAACATCTGAAAGAGGCATTTCCTCCCTGCCCCAGGTCTAAGCCACCCATCTATATCTGGGCGGCACCTCCTCATTTGCTGCTATCGTTGTTTCCCCGAAAATAAGACCTAGCTGGAGAAGAAGCCCTAGCATGATTCCTCCAGGATATGGAGGGCACGCATCCTTCACATGAGGGTTTTATGACCTGTTTCAGGGAGGAGGGTGCCTTTTCCACAAACTCTTTCAGCTTAAAATATTCAGTATGCCAAGGTGTCATATTTGGCACCTAAAATGCAAGGGCTTATTTTCCAACTAGGTCTTATTTTCGGGGAAACAGGGTATCTGTCTGCAAATGAAGCAGCCACTAAAGACTTGGAGAACACCTGGGACCTGGTCTTGGAGGTCTCTATCTGCAGCTAACACTCCAGTGCAGAACAGTCTGCAAGGGAGAACTGGGCAAGTGTGGGCTGTCAGGGGAGGGGACCACTTCTCTGTTCTTCCTCCACAACCCCAAAAGTGGGTGGACATAGGAGACGGACAAAACATGATGACCATGCTTGAGACATGCCCAGCAGTGGTGAGCGGGGAGGGGAGAGGATGGTGGCCACAGTCTGGCCAGATCCAGCAGGGCTGGGCCTACTGGTGTGGAAATGCTCAGGCTGGTCTGAAGATGTGGTGGTGGTAACGTTAACTTAGAATGTAAAGTTGTATGGGAACTTCCCAATAGGCTCACTTGAAAATAGCCTCCTCCATAACAGCACCCAGCCTATGTGAGACAAGCCTGTGGAAGACGGCACAGCAACCTGGGACTGCTTTGAACCAGTCTTTGAAGAGAGGATCAGCAGGTCTTTCCATTTCGTGAATTGTGGGGGCGAGAGCCACCCAGAATCAAAGCGTTAAGGTTCCTAGCTAGGAATGCTGTAGTCTTGTAGGGGAAGGATACACATGTCCCAGGGTCAAACCCAGGACAGTTCGTGGTGTGTCAGTGAGGCTGCCTCTCTCTTTCCTGTCCCTCTGATCACAGGCACAAGATGCTCATGTACACACACACATTCATGTACACACATATTCATGTATACACATGCATACATGTACCCACACATGCATGTACACACATGTGCGCACGCACGCGCGCGCGCACACACACACACACACACTTTCCCTCTCTCAGGATCCCCGAGTCCAGCACATCTGAGCCCAGGGAATCATCTGGCTCAGAGGTGAACCCACTTGCCATTCTCATGGAAACATTAAGAAGACACATCTAATGTCAAGTGGGTGAAAGCTCTTAGACAGCAGAGCTACAGGTGTGTGTGATAAGGTTGAGCCCAGTGGTATGAAATAGCCTGAAGTTCATTCATTCAGCATTTTCTAGGGCATGATTATCAAGGGAAGATAAGCTAAGCCAGTGTCCAAGGCTGATTTTGTACCACTGGGAAGAAAGAACTGTTGCATATTGAGGCTCCCAAATAAGAGGAGACCAGGTTTGAGACACCTGCTGCTGTCCCCATAAACATAGGTGACAATGCACTAAGTGAACACCCCCAGGTAAATGATGTACATGAATCCACCCATGTTATAAGGCAGCATGGGCCAGAAACACTGGGTTTAAATAACAACAGATAATCCTGTTCACTGTCATTCAACTGATTGGACTAGGTCTGATTAAAAGAAATAGAAAACTATTTATTTGGATAATTTTTAACATCATCCTCTGTTGACGGGTTGACATTTCACTGAAATACACACATAACATAATTGCATAAAAACAGAAACTGTCTCCAGCACGTTGTCAATGATACACAAGAATAGGAGAGTGCAGTGAACAGACACAGGACAGAGAGTTTGTTTGCGACATAAATCATGGAGAAAATTGAGAGTTGGCCAAAGAGGCCATTTCCAAAGACAAATAATGACAACATATTTATTAAAGAGACATCAAAGGAGGAAAGAAAGCATCATTCTTCCCAGACAGGAAAGCAGAGGCTTAGGAATCATTATTATATTTTGCTTGCTCCACACAGGAAGAAACACACCTTCTTAGGCTCAGGGACTGACTTGACTCTTTCATGTGGGATCTGGGGAAGAATGGGTTTGTGTGGGTGGGGGTACGGGGGGACCACAAGGTGTAGGAGTGTCTGCCAGAGGTGGGAATAAGGGAAACAGATATTCCCAAACTTGAATTGAAATGAAGCTTAAGCACAGCACCCTGAATTTATTACATATCACAAAACATGATAATGAAAAATTTCTAGCACACATATCAAGCTAAAAGGTAGCTGAGGCTGCTCCAAAAATTCCATAGGCACAAGTTCCAATCCCAAAAAATTCAGAAAACTATCTTAAATCCTTGAAAAAATTATTTTTCACAGCCCTAAAAAAAAAAGAACATTTTTTTCCTGAAATAAACACTTTACAATCAATAAAATTATCTGTTCTTTCGCTATTTCATATCTGTGTCTACCTCTATCAGCAAAATACTACTTTAATTTGAAATGTGGTCATAGCACTTAAACCAACACAATTGAAGCCATATAAAGCCATTCCATTAACATCACAATAGAATTATGTTTTTGAATAAACACAGAATTGCTATAAAATATAAACATTATTGATTTAAGATGTCCAATCATATAAAATATTAAACAGAATCAAGCCTAGTTTCTGGTTGATTTTTAAATGCTAGACATTATCATAAATATTTTTTAAAAAAAAGAAATGGCGCTTTGCCTGTAGACTGCTGCTTTAAATTTTAGACACCGTTTAATTGGGATTTTATAGATATTTACTCTATTGAGTGATTAAGTCACACACACACACAAAAAAACCCCAAACTATAAAATCTCTCTAAATATTTCTGAAGCAATAGCATAAAATTATATTTTAATATCAAATATGAACATCCAGTTACCTTCCTTTCTCTTCCCCTTTTTTAGGGTGAAGTTTTTCCTACCTGGGTGCATTTGCAATGATTTCACTGCCTGTCTCCCTAAGCTAGCCGCATCCAACACACCAGTCAGCTGCCAGCTCTCAGAACCACAGCAAGCACGTACAAACCCCTCCTGAACCTACACTGTAACAGTGGAGATAACAGATGAGAATCTCCAGTCGGGACTGGGCCAGGTCCTTCATCTTCAGAAGTGAGTGCCAGGCTTTCAGACTCCAGCCAAACAGCCCTCGCCTGGCAGAGGCTGTTTTCCATCACAGGCAGGTTTCACTCAGCCAGGGCTGGCTGGATTCAGCCTCTACCCAATTGGCTGGATTTTAGGCTTAGCTCCCTTAGAAGAAAGAACTGGAGATGAAATTCTAATAGAAGAAACCTGCTCATCTACAAGAGGTCCCCCACCTCCTCCGCGTACATACATGCACACACATCACACACAGGCACACCCCTTCTTTTGTCATTGTTTTCCTCTAGGGAAAATGTGATGGTGTGGCCTTTGTGTCCATTACAAACAGTCCTTGAGTTAAATATAAAGGGTTAGAATCATGAGCACAACACTCCATGAGTCATCCGTGGTGATTTCAACCCTCACTGAAAAGTCAGCTGTAACGTTACCCAGTAAGTTACGCTCGGGGTTGCCATCAGCTGCACATATCATGTTTATTACCATTACTTTGAAAAATTAAGGAAATATTCTAGGAAATTACCTAAACTTTTGATCTATGACATTTCACTGCAAATGATCTGACAGAGCTATCAGTTTTAGGTCCACCTTGATTCTTGGTTGTCATTTTAACATCAGAATCTGAGAAATTCTTGCCAGTTTCCTGATAACAGAGAATTATTTAAAATTTAGGCTCTGCAGATGCCGCAAATTGTGACTATTATTGTGATCCATTTTTGTACCTGTCAATGTGATTTCACATACTTTATCCTACTACATCCAGGCCAAGATATTCCCATTTGGTTAAGTGGCCTGCCCAGACTAGTGAAGGCTCCAGGAGGACTC